TAACTATGCCCCTCCCTCCAGTTCACAGGTGGGGTCCTAACTATGCCCCTCCCTCCAGTTCACAGGTGGAGGGCCTAACTATGCCCCTCCCTCCAATTCATAGGCAGAGGTCCTAACTAATCTCATGACTTAGTTATGATTCTTGTTGCTATGACCACATACCTGAGAGAAGCAACTTAGGGGGGAAAATGATTTATTTTGGCTTATGGTTATGGGGGTTAGATCTATCATGGTGGAGAAGGCATCGCAGGGGTCCTGGTCCCTGGTGGCAGGAGCATGTGGCAGCTGCTAGTTGTATGGTATTACCCATGAAGCAGAGAATTCAGAAGGAAGTTGTGCTTATCTTCCAGGGACCCATGTCCCCCAGCTTGATTCCACCTCCTAAAAGGTCTATAATCTCCTAAAACATAACTACCACCTGGGGACCAAGTGTCCAAACACACGAGCCTGTGAAAGACATTTCATATTCAAACCACAATATTCCAGTACTTCAAATGTGACTTTAGGTAGTGATAAGTCTTTACAGAGATCATTAAGCATAAAGGAGGCCATTAGTATGGATTTTAACCCAGTGTGAGCATGGTGCTATAAAAAAACAGCCAGGACACCTGGAGACATGCATAGAGGGAGGCATGGGGGAGTGCAGTTGACAGCTAACCAGTTCCTCCTTTGGAAGCAACCAATCCTGCCAACACCTTGATCTTGGACGCCTCCCTCCAGGATAGGACACTGCCGGCTACATGGTCTATGATGCTTGGTTACAAAACCTCAGGAGCCCAATGTGACAGGACTTCCATGCTGACTAACCAGGGCTGTGAAGGGAATGTGAAGACTCCAGAGCACTTCACACATACATAGTCTAGGACCACGGTCATCATTGCTCAATATGGAATTCGGGGAACATTAGCAAAACTGAGCAAAGCTGTGTGTGTGTCCTCCTGATTGACAGATGCAGATACAGCTACTCACTCCCTTCTCTCTTCCCTCTTCCCCATCTACCTCATTACTATAATCAGCATCCTCCATGGCAGAGAGGTACTAAGCACCTACTGTGTGCTAAGTCCTGTTCCTGAGGTGATGGGAGGATTATATTAGATGTGATCCTAATGTTGGAGAATAGTCAAAAGGAGACATGCATTTCTCTTCCTATTTAAGAAGAGAGCAAGGATCTCAAGCCTGGTGGAAGAATACCATAGGTGGACACCCGTGTCAGAAGTATGGAATGGGGACAGGAGACAGAACTGTCCATATAAACCCCAGGGGCTGCAGTTCTCTTGTTAGGCACCCTTGGTAATGGTTTTAATGGTGCTGAACAAGACGGAGGAGGCTGATGAGCTTCCCAAGAGTGCTACAGAAGCTGAGGAAGTACCATGGCCGAAAGTATGCCTCCAAGCCAATCCCTGAACCCTGCTGTGGGACAGCGGGTGCTTACACTCACTGCATAGGTGAGGCATGCTGATACAGCCCTGCACAGACACGGCTGTGTCCCTACTAGCTGAGCACTTTGCTCTGCCCTGCTCCTTCCTATTCTGCACAGTTAGACTCCTGAACTGCATCCAGATCTGTTTCCGATTCTACAGCCTAGGTCTTATTGGGGCAAGTTCTAAAGTCTCTTGCTGTGGCTTCTTGCTGCCTCGACAGAGCTGGGCTCTGGCCCCTGGACCCAGTGCAACCATCACTACTGGCCAACTCCTAGTGAGGCTGCTGTTGATGAAGCTTCACAGCCTTGTCACTGAGGTGTCTGGACACAGAGGGAGGGGGCAACAAAACTCCATTAGGGCAGCGGAGCCCCTTTCTGTCCCCTGGGTGAGGGAAAGGTCTCTGAACCAAGCCTAAGCTCCCATAGTATCTATGAAGGAAAAGGAGGATATGCCTGACCAGTCAGAGCACCCAAGTCTACCCAGTGAATAGGGGATGACCAAAGCCAGGCATTGTCTTGAGAGCCTTGGTCCCTGGCAGGCTATAGAATGGCTTGGCAGCCTGGAATGAGCCCCAGGCTAGGCAGTGGCTTACCTCTGTGATCCGAGGGTTGGTGCACTTGCTGTTGGCACCTGACAGTTCCAGCCACCGGCTCTCATGGGCAGGACAGTGCTGGCGCAGGGTGCACTGGCCTGGGCTCTGACACCAGCCACACTCAAAATCTGGGTCAGCTTTGAGGCACAGCCCACAGCTCTCACGCATGGCCCCGCACTTGTAGAGGTAAACTGTGGAAGACAAGGACAAGAGGCACTTTGGGATGGGGAGAGGCTGAGCGTGGCTACAGGGAAACTGAGGGTCTCCATTTGGTCTCAGCCATCCTTCCTAGCAAGCTCCTGTCACTCTGTCCCGCTCCTGGGAGCCACCGCAGTGCAGAGACCAGGGTCAAGAAATGACAGGGAAAAGTGGATGGAGAAGAGCTAGGCTGTGAAGGAAAGACTCAAAGGCCAAGGGAGATTGACAGGTGCTGGGAGGTAGGGATGAGGTGACCTCCCAAGAATGCAGTGCCGCCCTTCCCTCCCCTACCGCACTCCGGCTCCTCCCTGCCTTCTCTACCAGCCTTTGCCTCCCCACACCTTTATTCTGAGCTGGGTTGTCAATGTTGAAGTGTCCGTTCCACACGACTGTCAACTCCACCGGCAGGTTGTTGATCTCCATCCCTTCATAGGAATACTGCAGCCAGATTGAGGGGGGCGAGGAAAGAGCAAAAAAAAAAAAAAAAAAAAAAAAAAACTAAAAAAAAAAAAAAAAAAAAAAAAAAAAAAAAAAAAAAAAAAAAAGATCTCTAGGAAGACCTGAGTGCTTACTTAGCCTGGGGCCCCATAGAGC